GTGTCACTCCATCTGAAGCCATCATAGGGGCACCTGCACTGCCACCTTCCAATCTTGCACACGCTGCAAAAGACCCGTGGAGGGTCACTGATGATGTTCACGCTCTTCCCAGGTCAGGGCTGGGAGAGTCCACAGTCTCCCTCAGGAATATGCGCCAGCCTTGTAGGCAGAGGAAGTGTCACTGATCTCTGAGATCGCTGAGCCACCATGTAGCCTGCAGTTCCCAGAGCACTTAGCTGATCCACAGTATCCCCAGAGCCGCATTGCAGAGGTGTCCAACAAACCTCTCCCCAGAGACATCAGCTTGGCATTCTCCTGCATCTCCTGCCAGCCTCTATCCATCCACTCAACAAACGCTCCTGGAGGTCACTGAGGCCACTCCGTGTCCTGGCACAGGCTCTGTGATCCCAAAGTCCAGGAAGGGGAGGGGAGGGCGTGCAGAGCCACACGCAGGTCTTGGTGACCAGCACTGGCCGAAAAGGCTAGAGGGTGCCCCCTGGGGCTGCGGAGATGGACAGGCCTCAGACCAGACCCCTGAGATGGGACTTAGATGAAGGTTCTTCATCATGACAAACAGGATCTGAACCGGGGAGCTAGGGCAGGGGGTAAGGTGTCAGCTCAACCCCCAGTGCCACGTGGTCTCTTGAGCACTGCTGCCATGCCATGGCTTACCTACCATAACCCACTTGTCCCACAAAACAACCAAAACCCCAGGGTCTGGCCTGGGGAGGTGGTTCAAAGGGTTCAAAGGACAGGAGCACATGGTTTGCATGTGGGAGGCCCAGGTTTGATCCCCAGCTCTGCATGGTCCCCTGAACACTGGCAAGAGAGACTCCTGAGTATTACAGACACCTATCACACACACTCACACACACACACACACACGCGCGCACGCACACATGTGATCAGCACCAAGATCTGACTGTGATAACGGAAACTAAAGAACATACTGGAAAGGAGTCAGAGTTGAGTGAGGGGTGAGGGTCCAGGGCTGTGAAGGTGGCACTAGAACCTGGCTGAAGGGGGGCTGGCATATGCCCCTCAGAACCAAGAGTGTGTTGGACCCTGAGCACGACTCAGTGCTCGGACCTCGTTGGCACAGCACCACCCCGAAGGGACCTCCACTGTGACCTGTTTTGTCCCAGGTAACATCTGCGCTCTGTCTGCTCTGACACCCAATTTCGGTGGGGCCTCAAGATGGGGCGTTTACACCTGCCCCACACCCAGAGCAACCCGGTAAGTGTCTCCAGAATCACCTCGGACTCACATGCACCTGATCTTGTATTAATTTTCATTCCTGAAGCAATAGCACAGTGGGTAGGGCGTTTGCCTTGCAAGCGGCCAACATGGTTGACCCGAGTTCGATTCCTCCGCCCCTCTCGGAGAGCCCGGCAAGCTACCGAGAGTATCTCGCCCGCACGGCAGAGCCTGGCAAGCTCCCTGTGACGTGTTTGATATGCCAAACACAGTAACAACTGTCACAATGGAGATGTTACTGGGCCCGCTCGAGCAAATCGATAAACAATGGGAGGACAGTGACAGTGACAGTCCTCAGGATCACTTCAGAATCCTTCATTGTCACCAGATGGGACCACATTCTATATGGGGTCCAGACTCAGGCAGCTGCTTCCATGCGGAGTCAGTTCCATAAGGGGTTCAGACTCAGTTAGGCGGCCCCTTCCACATGGAGTCAGTTCTATACGGGGTCCAGACTCAGGCAGCCCCTTCTATACGAAATCAGTTCCATATGGGGTCCAGACTCAAAACGGCCCCTTCTCTCCTCCTGTCCTCCAGGCCCATGTCCCCTGCACTGTGTCTACCACTGCTTCTCTGTCCCCCACTTGCTCTGGCTACACTGGCCCCCTCAGTCCTGCCTAGCCTGTCCCCCACCTCGAGGGACTCAGAGTGGTCCCCCCACTTAGAACCCTCCCTCCAGCTCTTGCTCAGACTGGGCCTTCTTAGACGCCCACCCAGCCTCCCTGCCCCAGCTCCGCCTCCTGCTGTCTCTGCTCCCTTTGGGGGCACCCCTGGTAGTGCTCGGGCGCTTCATGCAAGGACAAGACCCATGCTTTGCATGTGCTCCAGCCCTTTGAACGATTTTCCTGGCCTCCCATTTCTTTCCTGTTATCTTTTAAGCTTTCAGTTTGTTTCTGGGTCACACCTGGCTGTGCCCAGGGCTGACTCCTGGCTCTGAGCACAGGGATCCTGGTGGGGCTTGGGGAGCCGTATGCGGTGTCAGGAACTGAACTTGGGCCAGCTGTGTGCAAGGCAAGTGCTTCGCCCTCTGTACTGTCTGTCTGGCCCCTGTAGCCAGAGTCCAAGGGACCAGATGACAGGCTAATGGCCGTTTGCTCATTCTTCCCAGCCGCCCCTTCAGATCTGCCAAAATGAGTCTCCCAAGCCATAGGGTCGCAAGGATCATTTCCGTTTACTTCGGATGATATGTCATTATAAATATTAACAAATAAGACTTAAAAATGACATCTTCAGGTAGGTCGGACAAAAGTACAAAAACTGTGTGGGGGCTGCGGTTTCAGGGCAGTGTCTGTAGCCGTCACGTGGCGAAGCAGTGCACGAGAGTCCGAGGACATGCATCGGGAGGTTCTCTTGGTTGGGAAAGAACAGAGGGCGGGACATGCACAGGTGGGAGATGCAGTTCCTCACGCTCGCCGCTAGAGGTCAGGAGGTTACCGCCTCAGATTGGAAGACAGGCTGTGTGGGGGGCCGAGTGTGGGGGTGGGGGTGGATGCAGCGCACTGGGCGACCCCCAAGTTACTGACACCTGATTTTGGTTTTGCTTTTTGTTTTTGGTGGTTCCAGGGATTGGACCCAGAGCCCCGTATATGCAAAGCAAGTGGTCGACCGCGGCAACCCAGCCCTGACCTGATTTGGCATCCAACTTCCCGTGTTTGTGGGGCCCGAGGGGTCAGTGGGGGGTATGATGCCAGTTCGGGGTCCAAGGCGGGGTCCTCCTCAGGGCCTTCTTCCTCGCGCAGACAAGAGAGGCGCATCCCGGGGACGTGGCCCAGTACCCCTTCTTTTGCCTGTGCTGGCTATCCCACGTTTCAGGACCAAGGACCTGCTTTGTCCGGCCTGAGGCAGCAGAGAAGCTGGACCCGGCACCAGGAGGCCCATGTTCCTGCCCTACCGATCCCTGCACAGCCTCAGTTTCCCTGGACTAGCGAGGAACATGAGCCTGGTGAGGGCCAGGGTCCCTCCTAAGCTCTGCTGTTTTGCGTTTCCACAGTATACAGTGCGACCCTTCCAGGGGCTCCCGCATGGGCCGAGCTGAGGTACGAGAGCCCATGTCTTTCTTCCAGGAGAGAGGAGAGACAGAGCCTTGCCCACAGGCTCGCAGGCCGGGAGTGGCGGCTGGCGCCTGGGCTTGGGGGCCTCTGAGAAGAGTTATGTGGCCCAGCTAACTTTGACGCAGCCTAAGGAGGAGGCCCAGGGCAATGGAGAGCCCCGCACGCCCGCCCTGTCCCAGCGCTTGCCAAGACTTCACTGAGTCTCTGCTGAGCCGCAGACAGCCAAGGAGGGGCCTGATCACTGTCCCCAGACAGACAGCTGCTGGAGGTGGCGGGCAGAGGGCCTGGGCCTGTGTCCTGGTCCCCACCTTCCCCACTGGCTTTCTGTTTCATTTGTTTTTGGCCACACCCAGCGATGCTCAGGGGTTACTCCTGGCTCTGCACTCAGGAATCACTCCTGGCGGAGCTCGGGGGACCATACGGGATACTGGGGATTGAACCCGGGTCAGCGCGTGCAAGGCAAATGCTCTGCCCACTGTCCTATTGCTCTGGGTCCCCTCCCCGCTGTGTGACCACAGCAAACCTCTCAGCCACTCTGAATTTGTTTCCACCGGCCTGACCTAGCACCCCCAGGACGGGGACATGCGGTGGAGACTGCAGCGAAACCCCAATTCACAAGAACTTCCCTGGGGCAGGGGTTTCCAGGCGCATCCACAGTCCTGGGGCAGTATGCTTGGGGGCTGGAGGTTGCTCTCTCCCCTGCAGGTTTGGGAGGGGCTGATGGCACTTGGTGGGGTTTGGTCATCACCCCAGGCCTCGGACGGTGATGTGCTTGTGTTTGCAGCAGAAAGCCCACAGGCCGAGGGGGCCACCTGGGTCATGGGTGGGCAGCAAGCAGGGGAGAGCTGAGCCAGGACACCCACCTCCCTCTGGGGCCTGTCCCAGCACCTGGAGGGGACAGGGGTCCCCGGGACCCAACTGCTCTGCATCCCACACCCAATCCTGCATCGGATGGGCCAGCAGAGGGAGGCTCAGGGACTTCTTGCTCTTTCCCTCACGGGACACAGGGTCACCTTGTGTCACCTTGCTCGGGGAAGAGGGTCAATGTGGGAGGGCCTGGGGCTGAGCCTGACCACACTTGCACCCCCTGCTGGGTCCCGCCTGGTCCACTATGAGCTGACCTGGTAGTCAGGGCTGGGGACCCTCCTGTCTGCTGTCCTGCCCTCCCTGCCCCCAGGTCCCAACTTGCCTGTGACGATCTGCCCTGTCTGTCCACTCCCCCTCAGGCCCTTTGAAATACCCCCTCCTCCAGGAAGCCTTCCCTGCCCTCCTGTGGAGTCCCAAGAATCCAAGCACTCCCAGGAGGGCCCCGGCCACTCTCAGGGCCTTCTGCTCTGTCCCCCATTGTGATGGTTGAGTCCAGCCTCCCCATGGCACGGGCTGCCGGCAGGCCCTGGCTCGCTCCTCCCCGGGCACAGAGGGGGCCTCCAGGGACTTCCCCAGACTCCTCGCTCCCAGCCACCTCCCCCACTCCCTGTCAGGGGGAACAGACTGCGTCGGGCGCCCCTCGTGGGGACATACTTTCTCCTCCCTCCCACCCCCTTCTCCCTGCACTCACAGTGGGGTGACAGCTGGTGGGGTCCATGGCCTCCCCCTGGGGGTCCTCTGGCTCCCGCCTCCAGGGATGGAGATCGGGGGCCCTGATCGCGTCCCCGGTGGTGGCCGGGACCCTCGGGGCCTGTGGGGGGGGGGGCGGCGGCAGCGGCTCCATGTCTGAGCAGGTGTCTGGCAGCGGGGTGTCCATCAGTCGCTGAGCGCGGCCCCTGGGAGCTCGCTGGTGAGCGTGTGCCAGCGCTCGATGCGCTTGTCCTTGTTCTTCAGGCAGTCAAACCAGTGCTTCAGGCGCTCCCCCTTGGCGTTGATGCCCAGGACCACCCCGCCTGCAGGGGCGGGCTCTCACTCAGGGGCTGCCCAAGCCAGAGCCCCTGCCCCTTGCTGATTTCCCGTGTCTGACCTTCAGGGACCCCATCTGTCCCTTCTTCCCTGCAGCCCCACCTGTGCTCACCCCACAGGGGACGGGCAGGGAGGGGAGCGGTGTACGCCCCCAGGGCCCAAAGGAACTCAGGTTCCGAGCACTCCACCCGCCCTGCCCGCCACCCCCCTCCCAGACTCGAGTTCTCTGGGTGGTCTCTTTCTCCAAGCCTTCTGTCTGGGAGTAGCTGTGTGTCACCCCAGCACTCCAGGGAGGCCAGAGGGACAGGGCTGTCACCTGACCCAGGGCCGCCTCCACTTACCGATAAAGTCGTTGGATTTTCCGATGTCGTAGTCCCAGACTGTGACCTCCAGTGTCTTCTTGGCCAGGTCCCCGTGCTTGATCTCGTAACAGAACTCCTGGGGGGAAGAGGGGAATCAGCTCTGCTCTGGGGTTGAGTCAGGAGGACCGCGGTGCCTGCATCCCCCTGAGATGGGCCTGCACGGTCCCTGTCTCCAGGGCTGCTCTCCAGGGTCCCAGCGGGCAACTGCTCGTTCCTCCCTTCTCTGTGGGGTCCCTCCCCTGCCAACACCAGGGCACCCAGGCCCTGGCATCCCCAGATAAACGCATCTTTGTTTTTTTTCCAAACATGACCAGAGAAAGGGAGAAGTGTTAGTCCAAAACAGTAAAAGCACCCGGAGAGTGTGTGTGTGAGGTCGGGAAGAACAAACCCCAGGACTGGAGGCCCCAGAAGTGCAGGCTCTGAGTCCCCAGTCCCCTCCAGCTGCGCTGAGTTCTGGTTTCCCTGGAGCATCTCAGAGTTTCCCATTTCCTCCACCTGACCGGCCTCCACACCCACCACTCCAAGCTCCCCCCACGGACCCAGCCTGACCTCCCCTGTCTCCTGTCCCCCATGTGTGCACCCGCACCACTCTAGCCCTGCCCTGGAAGGACTCCCAGGGGCCCCATGCCCCCGCCCCGCACCTCATTGAACTCGGGGTTCAGGGTCTTCTTCTTCACTGCCGTCTTGTGCTTGGATTTCTTGTCCACATCAGGCTTCAAGTATCTGGAATCAAAGCCACAAACGGGCAGAGGTGGGAGGGGCCGTACGGTTGCCTGCAGGGCTTGTGAGGGGCTGATTTTGGGGGGGGGGCACAGCCAGTAGTGTTCAGGGGCTACTCCCAACTCTGTGCTCTCATGGGTCAAACCCAGGCCTCTGTACGCAGAGCCTGTGCTGGGCAGCTGAGCTGTCCCCACCGTGGGGTGGCTCACAGGATGATGTCAGGGAAGTGCTCCGAGCCACTGAGTTCTTTTCTAAGCTCTGATCTTCCAGGCCCTGGACTTTATTCTGGAGGGAGGGTCACACCCGACAGTGCTCAGGGCTCACTCCTGGTGGGGCTTGGGAGACCTTGTGGGGTGCCGGGGATTGAACCTGGATCAGCTGTGTGCAAGGCAAGTGCCCTACTCACTGTACTATCTTTCTGGCCCTAAGGTTTTTGGGGACTAACTTTCTGCATCGTATTTTCAGGTTCACTCATGTGGAATAAATCAGTGTTTTGTTCCTCTTTAAATTTTTATTTTTTTACTTTTGGGTTATATTGGGCACGGCACTATGAAATGGGGGGGATCCAACCTGAGGTACCTGCATGTAAATCATGTGCTATAGTCTGTCTATTGAGATAGCTCCATGGGCTATGTGGCTCCATTTTAATTTTGATCACTTGATCACTTGACTTCCCGTTAATCGTCGATTTGCTCGAACGGGCACCAGTAACGTCTCCATTTGTCCCTGTCTTGTGCTAGTGTAGCTCAATGGCGTCTGTTCATTCTAGGAACACAAAAAGCCTCAAACTGATCGTTCATGATCTTGATGAAGAAGTCTGACCATCTGGTAGGTGGGCGGCCACGTGGTCTTTTGACATCCCGTGGAATCCAGTCGGTAATGGCTCTAGTCCAGTGGTCGTCTCTGAATCTCATTACGTGACCAGCCCATCTGATTTTTGATGCCTTGACAAACGAGACAGCATCCCTGATTCTTGATCATCAACAGAGGTGGGAACTCCGGATTCTTTCTCTCATTTGAGTGATTTTAATTTTAAACAATTATTTTTCACTTTTTTTTCTTTTTGGATCATACCCAGGGATGTACAGGGTTACTCCTGGCTCTGCACTCAGGAATTTCTCCTGGCGGTGCTCAGGGGACCACATAGGATGCTGGGAATTGAATCCGGGTCAGCGGCGTGCAAGGCGAATGCCCTACCTGCTGTGCTATCACTCCAGTCCCTCTTTTTCACTTATTATACATACATATATTGGTTTTGAGGTCACATCTGGCTCTGTTAAGGGCTCACTCCTGGTGGAGTTCAGGGGACCATTTGTGGTGCCAGGGATCAAATCTGGGTCTTTATGTGCAAGGACAGCCCCTTCACTCCTGCACTATCTTTTCAACCCCGTAACTCCTTTTTATGGTCAAATCATTTCATGAATCTACCACTGTTCATCCCTTCTCCAGCTGCTGACCAGGTACATGGGCAGTTTCCACTGCTGGGGCACTGCGGCCAGGCTTTGTGCGGAGTAATCCGGATCTCTAGGGTACAGAGCGAGGGCGGAGCTACTGCCTGACCGCCATCCCATCTGTCCCCGCAGAGGACTGCCAGGCTGCTTCCTGAAGGCGCAGCACCATCTTTGTCAAGTGGTTTGCAAGCGATGGAAATATGAGTCAGGTCTGAGTGACCAGGGGCAGGATGGTCCTAAAATGGGTCAGGTGGTAGGACTGGTGATGTCCGTGTGGCCTCTGGCATCTGGGCCTCCTCACTGTCCCCTCAAGCTGCCCCACTCCTGTCTTGCAATATTTCTGTGCCTCTGCCTGATAGCACCTCCTCCTGTGGGGCTACCCGTCCTCAGTCAGCTCCACTCTCTCCCCTCAAATAACTCCACTCTTCCATCAGTCGCCCCACTGTCTCCCTTCAGTGCACCATGTCTCCTGTCAGTGGCTGCTGTCTCCCCTGAGCCGCCCCACTGTCTCCCCTCAGTGCCTGATGCCTCCTCTCAGTACCCAACTGTCTCCCCTCAGCTGCCCCACTGTCTCCCTTCAGTGCCCGACTGTCTCCCCTCAGTGCCCAACTGTCTGCCCTCAGCCGCCCCACTGTCTCCCTTCAGTGCCTGACTGTCTCCCCTCAGTGCCCAACTGTCTGCCCTCAGCCGCCCCACTGTCTCCCCTCAGTGCCCGACTGTCTCCCCTCAGTGCCCAACTGTTTGCCCTCAACCACCCCACTGTCTCCCTTCAGTGCCCGACTGTCTCCCCCCCTCAGTGCCCGACTGTCTCCCCTCAGTGCCTGACTGTCTCCCCTCAGTGCCTGCTATCTCCCCTCAGTGCCCAACTGTCTCCCCTCAGTGCCCGTTGTCTCCCCTCAGCCGCCCGACTGCCTCCCTTCAGCCGCCCCACTGTCTCCCCTCATGCCTAACTGTCTCCCCTCAGTGCCTGATGCCTCCTTTCAGTACCCAACTGTCTCCCCTCAGCTGCCCCACTGTCTCCCCTCATGCCTGACTGTCTCTCCTCAGTGCCTGCTGTCTCCCCTCAGTGCCCGACTGTCTCCTCTCAGTGCCCGCTGTCTCCCCTCAGTGCCCGGCTGTCTCCTCTCAGTGCCCGCTGTCTCCCCTCATGCCAGACTGTCTCCTCTCAGTGCCTGCTGTCTCCCCTCATGCCCGACTGTCTCTCCTCAGTGCCCAACTGTCTCCCCTCAGTGCCTGCTCTCTCCCCTCAGTGCCTGACTGTCTCCTCTCAGTGCCCGCTGTCTCCCCTCATGCCAGACTGTCTCCCCTCAGTGTCCACTGTCTCCCCTCAGTGCCCGACTGTCTCCCCTCAGTGCCTGTCACCCCTCAGTGCCTGTTATCTTCCCTCAGTGCCCAACTGTCTCCCCTCAGTGCTCACTGTCTCCCCTCAGTGCCAGACTGTCTCCTCTCAGTGCCTAGACTGTCTCCCCTCAGTGCCCGCTGTCTCCCCTCAGTGCCCACTGTCTCCTCTCAGTGCCCGACTGTCTCCTCTCAGTGCCCACTGTCTCCCCTCAATGCCAGACTGTCTTCTCTCAGTGTCTGACTGTCTCCCCTCAGTGCCCGCTGTCTCCCCTCAGTCGCCCTTCTGCTTCTGCTCACCGGCCCCCCCCACCCCCCCGCCTCATCCTGCACCGCTGTGAGCCCACAGCAGGGCCTTCCTCAGACCTTGCCTCACAGCTGTGAAGGCTCCACAGTCCCCACCTGGTCTTCCAGGGCCACAGCCAGGCTCAGCCTCTCCCCTGGCACCACACAGCCCCAAGGCAGCTCTGTCCCCACTGAGCCTGAGACCCAGCCAGGGCAGGTGCACGTGGTGGCCACGTCTTGGGAAGCCCCGTCGGAGGGTCTGGGCTCTCTGGCCTACTCAGGTCTCCCTGGGGCACCCAGGACCCCCTCTTTACCCTGGCCACCCCTCAGCCCCGGCAGCCTGTTTCCCTGTATGTCTCACAGGCCGACAGGACTGGTGGAGCTGTCAAAGCGGCAGAATAGAGAGGGGGTCCTGGGGGGGGCACAGCACCCACAAGCCCCAGGGGCCCTGGCAGAGCCGCCCCGCTTGAGCTGCTCTCGGCCCGCACACTCACGTTTTTACGTAGGGGTCCGAGTAGCCGTTGGCGTCCATAGCGGCCAGGTGGGCGCAGCGTACGATGCCGACGAGCAGGCCCTGCTTCTGGGAGCTGTACTTGAGGGAGATGAGGATGCGGCCCCGCTCCTCCAGGGACTTGTCTTCACCCTTGTCCACCTGCAGGGAGGCGGCCTCAGGGCTCCCCTCACACCCCCAGGAGCACATGGAGGAGGGGCTCGATGGCTCCAGCTTCCCTGAGCTGCCCGCTAAGCTGCTCAGGACTCAGGACACCCACTCCTGGGGTCAGGCCTCATCTGGTGCCCCTCCAACCCCCACAAGTCTCTATCCCTGTCCCCGGCTGTCACCCTCTCCTGCTCCCTCTGTCTAGCCTGCTCTAGCCTGTGCTCCCAGGGACCACCCTTGGGCCTCTGTGCCAGGCCCCTCTGTCCACAACTGGCCTCTCCTGGTATGACAGCATCTCAGGAAGGATGATCACTACTGGAGGGCTTCAGAAAACCATACGGGGATGCTGAACCAGGGTCAGCTACAAACAAGTTCCTTAGCTCCTGTACTAGCTCTGGTCTGGGATTTTTTGCTGGTCTGTTTTGGTGCTTTAGGAATACTCCTGGCTCGATGCTTGGGGACTGCTCCTTTGGTATTCAGGGGACCACGAGGTGGCAGGAATAAACCTGGGACTCTTGCAGGCAAAGCAGGTACTCCAGACCACTGGATTTCCTTGGTGGCCCGTCCCAGGAATTTTCCCAACATGAGCATTCTGCCAGTTGCTTAATAAAAGCTCCTGGCAGGGAGGTCCCTGTGGGCTCATGGAGCCACATGACTGGAGGTGACTGGCTGACCACCCACTCACCGGCAGCTGCTTCTCCAGGCAGATGCTGAATGTCTTGGTGTGGTTGGGCTTCAGTTTTTTCAGGGGCACTCGTGTCTCCCCGATGAACTCATTGTGGCGGAATTTATCCTCATCACACACAGAGATCCTGGAGGGCGGGGGGAGGCGGCCAGGTCCTTAGACACAGCGGGTGCCCCGCCCAGCTCCTTTCCCAGCCCAGGGGAACATGGGTGGGTGAGGGGCGAGACAGGGGAGGGCCGGAGCCTCACCCACCGCAGTGTCTTTCGAACCATGTCTTCATCCGTGATTCCGTAGTAGGTGAGGGTCTCGTTCCAGGTGGGGTTCAGAGTGTTTCGGAGGGTTTTCGTTCGGAGCTTATTTGCCTGGAGAGAGCAAATAGGGTCCTGTGAGCACCAAGGCAAGCAGCCAGTTGAACAGGGGCCCTGGGGACACTGCAGCCCAGAAACCATGAGTGCATATTCATGTCCACTAAAGGTGGAGCGGAATAAAAGTGACTAACTGGCTCATTTATAATTAAGAGATTAGGTGATGCAATCTTTTCGCATTTGTTTTTGTTTACGGGCCACATCTGGTGATGCTCAGGGGGGTTTTGGAGGGATTATATGTGATCTGGGGATTGAGCCCAGGTTGGCCATGTAGAAGGCAAACACTCTACCCACTATCCCTCAGGCCCATGAAATTTTTTTATCTTTTGAGTCACACCAGCAATGCTCAGGGGTTACTCCTGGCTCTGAACTTAGGCAGTGTTAGTCCTGGCAGTGCTTGGGGGACCATATGGGTTGCCAGGGATTGAACCCAGGTTGGCTGCATGCAAAACAAATACCCTACCCACTGTACTATCACTCTGGCCCCAGCCCATGCAATCTTAAGAGGGCTTAGGTGTGCAAAGTGGGGGCAGCGGAGGAAAACTGGAGGGAGATGTGAGAGGGAAGGTCAGGGAGATGCAGGCAGCTCTGGAGACGGAGGAAGGGACTGTGATCCAAGGGAGGCAGGCAGCCTCTGGAAAAATTCTGGAAGAATTGGCCCATGGCTCCTCCCCAGAGCTTCCAGAATGGACCACAGACTTGATTTTAGCTCCCTGGAACAGATGTTCTTCTAACATGCACAGCCAGAGAACGATAAATGGGTATTGCCATCAGCCTCTCCAGTTGGCAGTCGGACACTATAGCCCAGAAATGCATGCAGGAGGTCCTCCGTGTGTGTATGTGTGTGTGTGTGTGTGTGTGTGTGTGAGAGAGAGAGAGAGAGAGAGAGAGAGAATATGTGTACATATGTGTGCATCTGCACAACTGCACATGTGTGAATGTGAAAGTGTGCGTGAGTCTGTGCATATATGTGTGCACATGTTGAGTGTGTGTGCATGCACCTGTGGATTTATGTGTGTGTGCATGTGTGTGTATGTGTGCATGTGTAAACATGCCTGGATGTGTAGACAGAAGGGGAAGGGAGCAAGCTTTCTCCCAGGCTGTTTCCGGTGCTGGAGTCTCCTCTCCTGGAAATGCCTGTGGGGCTGCCCAGTTGGCTCTAGGCTCCGGGATCACTCCTTGTGGTGCTCGGGGACCATGTAGGGTTCTGGGGATAGAACCTGGGTCAGCTGCATGCAAAGTGAGCGCCCTACCCAGTGTACTATCTCTCCAGCCCCGTAACTGCCGTCTTCCTCCCTGATGCTTTTGTTTTCTCTCTTTTCCAAGGGCAATGGACACTTAGGGGTTGTGTCCTATACAGACACCTGCTCTGCTGCTAGGTGGCTGGCATGGGACAAAGTCCCTGGTCAAACTGTGTGTGTGCGCGCATGCCTACAAAGACCATGGATACAGCAAAGGCTCTAATAAGCTCTGCAGCAAAGAAACCTGCATAGGGCCGGAGAGGCAGCTCAAAGGAATGGAGCACTCGCTTCGCATGCAGGAGCCCCAAGTTCAACCCCAACAGTGCAGGCCCCCCCCCCCCGACACTGGGAGGGACCCAAACATCTTCTGGGTGTGGCCTGAAAAATCTTCACTGCCATCCCCAAATCATCTAACCGTAGAGCCCCAGATCTGCAGATCTTTCTTTCTTTGTTTTGTTTTGGGGCCATACCTGGCAATACTTACTCCTGACTCTGCACTCAGGAATCACTCCTGGAGGTGCTCAGGGGACCAAATGGATGCTGGAGATTGAACGCGGATTGACCACTTGTAAAGCAAGTGCCCGGCCCACTGTACTATCTCTCCAGCTCCCACAGCTGTTTTGTTTAATTTGGGGCGTTGAATCCAGCATTTTATATGTGTAAAGCATCAGCTATACCACTGAGCTCCATGCCTGGCCCCTTGGAGCACACAATAGAAACTTTAGCTGGGGTTGATGGGGATGTAACACACAGTTGTGCTCAGGGTTTATTCCTGACTCGGTACAGCTCAGGGATCAATCCTGGAGGGGCTCCTGGGGGCATGCGTGGTGCCGGGCTGTGTAGAAGGCAAACATTTCACCTGCTGTCTGATCTCTCTAGACCCCGCGATGATTTTTTGAATGATTAAATTTTGGAATAAGGGAAATTCTCTAGGGGTCTTCTTAGCTGACTGAGGGTGCTCAATGCAGGTTCCTGGGAGTCTGGGGAGGGGCTTGGCAGTGGGGGTTCCTCTTGGGGAAAGGCGGCCCTGGGGATTTCCTCACCTTGCTGGCTCCTGGCAGCAGATGCAGCTTGACATAGGGGTCAGCCAGCCCGTTGTGGTCCATCGGCTTCAGGCCCTGCGGGAGAGTGGTTGAGTTGTGCAGGGTGCGGGACACGGAGAAACCGGTGTCCCCTGTCCCTGGGTCCCTGGATGGCATCTTCTTGGAAGTCCCCTGGACTGACCCCTATCCCACATCGGGGCATGAGGGGCATGGCCTTGGGGCAGCTGTCAGCTTACAGAGGCTGGGATGCCCCTTCCTCATCCTCCTGCTCATGGGCATCTTTCTGGACCTCTGTCCCCAGCCCCTAAATCCATGACCCCTGGCCTGCTCGTCTGCACACTGTCCCTCGAGGCCCCAGGGAGATGTGCCACATCCTGAGGACCGGGATCCACTTCTCTCCACAGCCACTGGCCGACACAGAGGGTCCCCTGCAAGGCAGCTGCCCTCACAAAGTCTGCACCACCAGGCGCAGACGGTCAGCGCTTGGACCTTCGCCAATCCTTGCCAACCCTCCCCAGCTGTTTTTCTTCTGGACTGGTGCTCAGGGAGGCAGGGGGGCGGCTGGGCCACGAGAGAGGTGGTGTGTCCAGGGGGTCACACTGGCTGTGGTCCAGGCAGGGCCTGCACCCAGGGGGCGATGGGTCTCATCTGCCCACTGTATGTAGCTGTCCTAGAGCGGGTAGACCACCCACTGCCCTATGCTGGGAGGGCCACACAGCGCGCTCAGCACCTGAACTTCAACTGGGCAGGTGGGGGCTTTGTCCTGAACCCCGACTCCCCCTCACTGCCACACTGCTCAGAAGAGGCCGGAGGGCACCGAGGGCAAGTGAGAGCTTGGAGCTGTATCTGGGCGCTGGAGCCTTCACAGATGAGCAGCCTGAGGCTCTGACTGTCAGCCCTGCCCAGCTCGGGCATGAGTGACCCCCACCCTGACAGAGCTGGATCTAGGCTGAGGGTGACTGGGGGTGGGAGAGCAGCCAGGACTCCCCAACAGTACTCGCACTGCACCGAGGAATGCAGCCCCCTGTGGGTCACACACAAGTATGAGAGCACGCACATACAAACATGGGAAAGGGCACACATGTGCACACATACATAACATCACACACATGAGCACATCACACATGTAGCACACATGAGAGCACACATACATAAGAGCATACAACACATATGCACGCACGCACTACAAGCATATGTGCAACATACATAAGAGTATGCATATATAACACATGTACACATGTTAACGCGCACACATGCATACACACAGAAACACATATGTTCATGCATGCACACAGCACTCTCACTGTCACTGTCCTCCTGTTGTTCATTGATTTGCTCGACCAGGCCCAGTAACGTCTCCATCTTTTTTTGAGACTTGTTGTTACTGTGTTTGGCATATCGAATACGTCACGGGGAGCTTGCCAGGCTCTGCCGTGCGGGCGAGATACTCTCGGTAGCTTGCCGGGCTCTCCGAGAGGGGCGGAGGAATCGAACCCGGCTCAGCTGGACTGGCTGCACACAGCACATACATGATAAACATGCACACATATAGGAGCGATGCACACATGCACACGATCATATGCACATGAATGTACACATACACTCACATACAAAAACACACATACACATATACACATACATACACATGAGCAAACACATTTATACACACATGTTCATACATGAGAGCACAATATGCACACATGAGCACACATGTAAGAGCACTGTGCACACATACATGTGAGAGCACACACACTTGTGTGCACATCTAGCCCCCCCCCTCACAGCGGGGCGGAAGGTGGGGTGTCCGTCACAGGGAGGGCTGCCGTCTGGGGTGGGGAGGAGGAGCAGGGTGTGTCCGTGCCCCTCCCAGTCCCCAAGCCTGGACAGTCTCTACAAGGTGGGGGTGAGGGAACGGCGGGTAAAGGACCCTGCCCCTGGGTTAGCACAGCTGGGTCACTGGATTCTTTGCTCTGTGCCTGGGGCACGGCTGGGCAACCCTGCTTCCTGGCTGCAGGGAAGGGGATGGGCTGATCAGGACTTCTTAACTCACTCCTTTTTATCTGATTAAAAATATATATCTACATATTTTTTACCACGAGCCACACTGGGTGGTGCCCTGGGGCTACTCCAAACCCAGTGTTTAGGGGCCCACATGGTGCTAGGGATGAAAGCCGGCTGGTCTCCTGCATTCAAAGCAAGGGCTCCGAGCCCACGGAGCTCTGTCCAACCCAAGAAATCCACTTAATTTTTTACTTAATTAATTTTGTTTACTTAATTTTTATTTTTCAGCACACATGGCAGTTGCTCAGGGGTTACTCCTGGCTCTGCACTCAGGAATTACTCCTGTTGGGCTCAGGGAATCATATGGGATGCCGGGGATCGAACACAGGTCGGTTGTGTGCTAGGCAAGCACCTTGTCCACTGTGCCATTGCTCCAGCCCCAAGACATTTATTTTAAAACACAACTTTCGTGAGCCCCACGTTCAGTTACGTGCTTGTGCGTGGGGCTGTGACCACAGTCAAAGAAGTCCTGTTCCAGGGGATCCCCGTGGAGACACAGCTCACCCAGCATGGGGCAGGTGGGTGTGGGCCCAGCCGGGCAGCACCAGGCAGGACGCACAGAGCCTAGGGCAGCGTGGGAGGAGGGCAGGGCAGCTGGAGGGTCGAGGTGCTGAGCGAGGTCTGGGATCGGGGTCCCGGGGCTCTACAATGATCACTGGGCCGCCCTTACCTTGCGCGTGAACACCAACCTGGGCACCTTCCTCCCAGAGAAAGCCGCGTGGCAGGGACAAAGCACAGGTGGCTGAGGGCAGTGGGTGGCAGGGCGGAGTGACGGGACCCTCAGCCCCACCCCAAGAGCAGGTCCAGCCCGGGGATCACTCCCCTGCTGCTCCTCCAGGGCTAGTTCACTCCAGAGGGTCTCCCCGGGCTCCTCCATCAGAGGACAGCGAGGCTGCCTGCTCCTGGTGCCAGCCCAGCGAGGCTCAGAGGAGTGGGACTGTGACCTCCCTCTGGGCCCATCCGCTCTGCCCCTCTTCCCTCTGGCAACAGCTCCTCCAGTCCTGTGGCCCCTGAGAGCCTCCCCCAGACCCCACCCTTCATCCTCTCCCCCAGGACCCCCCTCTAGCCCTCACCCTCTCCCTGCACCCTCAAGACGCCACAGGAGCCCGGCAACCTGCCCCCCGCAGGCCCCACCTACCTTGGCCTTGTTGATGGTGCAGTGGAGGGCGCTGTTCTCCTGGTCGTACAGCAGGCTGAAGTCCAGCGTGCCCAGGGCCGCTGCACACAGTGAGGGCTCAGGTTAGGTGCCAAGGCTTCTCCTGACCCATCAGGGGCCACAAACCCCATGGAGGGGGAGAGTTGCCCACGGAGCAGCCACAGCATCCTCTGCCCACATATCAGCATCCCACCACCAGTTCCATGAGCCCTGGGAAGTGAGCCATCTTCTGGCGATATTTTGGGGGGAGACTGAATTTGGGGGGCATACCCAGCGATGCTCAGGGCTCACTCTTGGCTCTGCACTCAGGGCTCACTCCTGGTGGTGCTCGGGGGGCAATATAGGGTACTTGGGATTGAACCGAAGTTGACCACGTGCAAAGCAAACACTTTATCCTCTGTATTATCTCTCCAGCCCCACTAGTCACTTCTTATTTGGGCCACACCCAGTGGTGCTCAGGGACTACTGGTGCTCAGGGGACCGTGCAGCGTTGGAGATGGAACCTGGGCCTCCTGCATGTGGAGCCCACACTCCAGCCCACTAGGTCATTTCCCCACGTGGCCACTCTGTGCATGAGTTGCTGAGGCCCGGAGAGCTGAGGTCAGTCATCCTCCAAGCATGCTGAACAGTGGTGCTGGACAAGTTCTGCCTGCCTCAGCTTCCCCCACCTGTTAACTGTGTGAAAGGCAGAGTTGGAGTTCTGCGAGGTGCAGATGAAAAAAACCGAGCCACTATTCAGATGGATAGGCCGGGAACTCCGGGGGAATGTCTTGACTCTATGAGAACCAGGGAGATGGCTTCCTGGAGGAGGTACCACTTCACTTGGGCAATGAAGGATGAGCAGGAGTTGGATGAGCCTGGCGGGGCTGAGGGAAGGGGCGTTTCACCGTAGACCAAGCAGCCCAAGGGCGTCTGAGTAGCTGTGGTGATGCTGGGGGAAACACGTCGTTCTGTCCTTTAGGCTAAGGGTCAGCATCAAGGCCAGGTCCATCAGTTCCCATCTTCCCCGGTACTGCCCTGATGCTGTGGCACGGAGCTGAGTGGCTGCTGCTGGGACCACGTGGTCCAGCGGTGCCTGGCCTGGTGCAGTCCAGCAGGGCAGAGTTTGCCCGCGTGCCTCTCCTGGAGAGGGTGGCACTGAGTGACTGCTGTCTTGCTCCTAGCCGAGGCCCTGTGCCGGTCTGGGACTGGGGAGGCAGGTGAGGTGTGGACCCGCCCTCTGCTGTGCCCTCACCTCTCAGGCATCTCTGTGCCTTCCTACCCTCGCTGCAGAGCAGAGACTCAGCGGGGCAGCCCTGCAGTCCTAGCATGCAACTGTGTGGTGTGGAGGAAGTAGTTCCATCACTACACAGAGGCCCAGCCACTGCAGGTTTTTTTCAGCAAGCCCTACAAGCCCGTGGCTGCAAACTGGATCCCGCCTGCCTGCCTTTGTGAACAGAATATTCAATTGGACACTTCCGCAGTTCTGGCAGCCCCCACTATGGTTCCACAGCTCATGGCAGAGCCCAGACTCGGAAGTGGGGTGAGTCGATTCCACCCAGTTGACTCAGGCGGCCACTCTTTTTTATGGATCTCTTCATTTCTCTGTCCTTTTTTGGGGGATGGGGTGGGGTTTTTTTTGTCACACCTGGCGATGCTCAGTGGTTACTCCTGGCTCTGTACTCAGGAATTACTCCTGGTGGTGCTCAGGGGACCATATGGGATGCTGGATATAAAACCTGGGTCGGCTGTGTGCATGGCCAATGCCTTACCCATTGCACTTTTGCTACCGCCCTGTCCTGTTTTTTTTTTTTGGGGGGGGGAGTTTTGGACTACACCCTGCGATGCTCGGTGGTTAGTTACTCTGACTCTGCACTCAGAAATTATTCCTGGCTGTGCTCATAGGACTATATACGGTGTCAGAGATTGAACCCGGGTCAGCTGCATGCAAGGCAAACACCCTGCCCCCTGTCCCCTGTAGCTACCTGCTTGAAACTCCTGCGAGCGTACTTGCCAGCTGCACCACATGGTCCCAGAGCATCCCTAGGAGTGACCTCTAAGCACTGCTGGATGAGGCCCAAACAACAGTAACAAAGACCAAATCAAGAGTCAGCAGCCTCCTACATGACGACTCACATGGACTCCTGTTTGGCTGATGTTGCAGATGGGTCTCAGAAATCTGATTCCCAGGGGGCCTGGCTGAGAGAACCCTTAATCCCTCATGTGACCGTCACTACTGAATTGGTTCAGGTCAAGCCACCTTGTCTGGAGGATAAGAGTGGGTCTGGGGCAAACTGGAGACCCAGCTTCCACTCAACTCCAGCCTGAAGTTAGAGGTTTGAAAAAGAGCTTAAGTCACCTAAAAAAAAAAGCCAATTTCTGACAGACAAAAGAGGAAATTTTGAAGCCATAGCTTAGCTGTTCAAACTGGCTTGCAATTATTTTATCATTGTAAAATAAAAACTTGCGGGACCAGAGCAATAGAACAATGGGTAGGCACTTAGCTTGCACACAGCCGACCTGAGTTCAATCCCTGGCACCCCATATGGTTCCTCGAGCCTATGAGGAGTGATCGCTGAGCATTGCCGGGTGTGGCCAAAAATAAAAAATAAAAAAAAATTAAAGCTTTCTTACAAACCCCCCAAATAAAAATTTAAAAAGTCAACATCCCTGATCAGTGACTTGCTGGGCTTTGTGCCCCATGCACCCGCGGGCCGGCAGGTGCGAAGGGGAGGTGGTGCTCAGGCTTGCCCGTGACTGTGCACAGAACCAGGGTGAGGCTCCCGGCCTCTCCGACGGGCTGCCAATGTTACGAGACAGAAAATCGATCTCCTGTTCCCTTCAAGTCGATAGGGGCTTGTTCAGCCCAGCCAAGAGCCTCACCAGGCTAGGATGATACTGCTGAGCCCCCGAAGGACACGCTCCATCCACAGACCTGGTGCTCCCAACCACCCACTCTCCAGATGCTCTCAGGAGTGGGCAAAGGCTCCCAGATCCCTGCTTATCAAACTCTCCCCTCCAGGCTCTCTCTCGGCCAGGTTTGGTCCCAGAGGCCCAGGCTGGGAGATGGATGGGGGCATGACCTGCCCCAATCGCGAAACTCCCCTTTCCAGAAGCCTGTGTGCAGCGGGCGGGGCAGGTGCTGATCTCTGGCACTCGGCCTGAAGAGCTTGCCTGGTGCCACCCCAGGGCGGCCTTGGTGCATTTCTTTGAACTGCAGCGTGTTTTTGTACAGAATAGCAGAGAGAAGCTGGCACCTCGGCTGCGTGCCTATGGTGAGCTCTGAGGATGCTTCTGGTCCCAATCTGCATTTCCCACCTGGAGAAACGAAACTTCCAGTAGGAGGTGATGCAGGGTGGGGGACTCAGCAGAATCAGACCCAGAATGGGGGTCTCTCCATTCCTGCCTTGAGAGTCTGAGCTCGAGTCAGTTGGGGGGGTGTGCGGGAGAGAGGTTGGGGCTACACCTGGTGTTTTTGGAGAGCTATTCCCAACTCTATGCTAGAGGGTTGCTCCTGGCAGGGCTCAGGGGACCACGTACTGTTGGGGACTGAATGGAGTTGGCCACCTGCAAAGCAAATGCCTTAACACCCTGTGTTATCTCTCTGGCCCTTAATTTTTTTTTGTCTGCCACTTTGTTTAGCTGAAATCATAAGCAGAATACAAAGAAAGAACAAAAGAGGGAAGAGCAGGGTGTCTCGTGGGGAGTGGGGTGTGCTCAGCCACCCACCTGGAAGGGCCTCAGAGCAGCGGCTGGGGCTGTAGGGGGACAGGTGAGGTGCTGTCCCGGCAGCCCCGGGGTCTCGCCCTGCCACCTCTCCTGTCACATGCCCTAATTTGACGCTGACATTTTTGCAAAAATAATGAAGGCTGGTCACTAATGGGCCTTTGAGAGTTGTCACCCGCTTGTCGATAATTATAGAGCCGTAATGGGGCTAATTCAGAGAAAATCGAGCTCGAGCCCCTGTCGGCTCCTTCGCAGCAGCACACGTCCCAGCTCAGCTGTGAGGCTGACGGATGGCGCTGACCTTGGCTAGCACCTGGACTCTCCTCCCCACACTCCCTGACCCCCAGGGAGAAGCAAATCAGCCCTGGTTTGTTCTCTATCCCCCGACAAAACATACCAGCCTTTCAAAAAAAATTTTTTTTTCCTATATGACAAAACCCATAATGACAGGACCTGGCTTGGAAGCACCTCAGAGTTGGGGAAACTGAGGCACTCGTCCTTTCAGGCACCACAGGTGGTGACAAGAAGCAGCAGCCCTGTATGCCCTGCTTTCCGGAGCTCTGAGTCAGAGGACTTTGCTCAGTTTATGCGCCCCCTGCTGCCTTCCACCTTGCTCTCCTCAGCCTCTGGTGGGGCGCTCCAGCCCCTTGGTGACAGGCCGACTTCGGTCTCATCAGCATTCTGTGGTGACGCCTTGCCCCTGCGGTGTGGTGTCTGCGGATGACGTGCGCCTGGACCCAGCCTCACAGTGTCAGGCTCCTGCCCGGTCGCCCTGCCTGCTGGCTCCAAGGTCCCCCTCCTCAGCCTGTTGCCTCCTCTGGCTTGTGTCTCCCCACTTTGGCATGTATGCATGCGGCAGCCCCTATGTCAGGAGCACACCCTCTCCTCCCTCCCTGCCAGCCACTTCCACCCTCCCCAGCCTCCCCACGGGGCAGTCACTGGGGTGACCCCTGCACAAGCCAACACCTCTCGTTTGCTTCCTGCCTCCCTGTCTCACTGCTGGTGAGTCGGGCTGGACGGTCTCGGACAGCCCCTGCACCTAATGTACAGCAGGTCTTCGGATGCTGAACTCAGGCACTAGAGTGTTCCGGAGAGAACCGGCGTGGGCGCTAAGGCAGCGTGATCAGAGCTGCTGGGGACCGGGAAAAGTCCCCAGCTGAGTTGCTCAGGGCAGGTTTAACAGTGATGTCTCCATTCCTCTGCAGCTCAGGCCTCTCTGGGCAGGGGAAGCCAGTCGGGCGGGGGCAGGCGACGCCAGTCACGGACTGAAGCACAAGTCCCCCACAGAACGGTGGGGAAGCCCGTGCTCTCACTGAGACTCAGGATGAAAACAGCCCTTAGGATCTTACAGTATGACTCCTGGCATTGTGCAGCTCGGTGGGCCGTGAGGAAGGCCACCCTGAGAGGGAACGGGCATGACGCAGAGGAAAGCAGCTCGAACCACCCCGGGAAGCGGTGGCTGATCAGCCGCATCCGTGTTCCGCCCACCTGTGTGGCACAGGAGTTCTCTGTTTACAACTCAAAACCTGCTGTCCATTGTTGAGCTCTGCAGAAGGGACTGGGTGTCAGAGGCAGATCTGGGATGAGCACACACCACATGCCAGGGGGAGGGTGGGACGAGGTGTGGGGCTCGGGGTTGAGGGAGGACAGGGAGGCTGTGGAGGGGAGGCCTACTCAGCTCACCGCCCCTCCCCCCGCCCGCTCTCTCCATCATCACTCCCCTGTCGGAGCGGAGGGGAGCCTGTGAGCCTGGTGCCTGCAGGTTCCCCAAAGGAGGAGCTGTAAAGGGAAGGTGAAATAAAAGCCAAATAAATAATAGGCACGCCACTCTTGGCCTCGGACCACAGAACACCGCCCTCATTTCTTTGAGTGAGGAGAGAGATAATCCAATAATTAGGGCAGCAAATAACATAACCCGGGCTAACGCCGTAATGAACCATCTGGCTTGAATCATTTAGGCTGTTTCTTTGGGATCTGGTTGTCAGGGCTGAGATGGGGGCACAGCCTGAGGGACTGGGTGGGAAGTAGTTCTGCCCCAGAACCTGGTCCCTCCAAAGGCAGGCCCCAGAACTTCTGAGTGCCCAGGTTCCCTCACCAAGGGGTCCAAAGCCCGGGTCAGAGGCTGGGGAGAGGGCTCAGTGGACGGAGTGCATGGTCTGGGGTCAGTCTCTGGCCCCACATTGTCCCCAGAGCATTACCAGGAGTAACCTTGAGCACAGTCAGAAGCAGCCCCCAGGCACTACCTGGTCGACCAGATGGCTGGGGCTCAGTATCTCATACACACATACACACACACAAACACACAGACACGCACATATACAAACACACACAGACACAAACAAAAACATACACACAATCAGACATACACAAACACACAGAAACACACAGAAACACACAAACACACTTTCACACACAGACACAAGCACACAGACACACACATACACAAACACACAAACACAAACATACACAAACACGCAAACACACACAAACACACTTTCACACACATACACACACACACACATGCACACTCACACGCCTGAGCTCTCTCAGCCAGCCCTGAGCATAACATGTGTGGCCAGGCCACAGCTGGCCTGGAAGGCTGCCTCCAGGATGGCCTTGTCTTGCTGAACTCTAGAATCTGCCCCCCACCTTGTCCCTGGGTGAGCTCTCGGGGAGCAGGGACCCGCCCTTTCTCTGCTGCTAGGACCAAGCACTGTGGGTTGCTGGGCTGGAGATGGACACTTCTTTGTCCTTTCTTTGCCTGTAGGTTTAGGGAGAGCTGACACAAGGAACCAGGGGCCAGAGAAATAAATAGTACAGCAGGTAGGGCACTTGCTTTGCAGCGGGCATCCCCTACTGTCCCCCAGCACTGCCAGGAGTGATTCCTGAGTTGCAGTGCCAGGAGTAACCCCTGAGCATCGCCGGGTGTGGCTCAAAAACAAAACAAAAGCGACCAGATTGCTTGCTCCCCTCTTACTGCACGTCACCCAGAGGGCACTTGGTGACTGGAGCTGGGACCAAGGAATGCCCAACCCTGCCCTGCCTATCCGGCTTGCCCCCTGGGCATAGCAGGAAAGACACCAGAGACAGGAACAAGTGCCCCCACAGTAATCTAAATCCAAGCTGGATGCGTCTCAGTTTGGGCCTGCACCAAGCCACCACAAGTGAGGGGTGCCAAGTGCTGGGGTTAGCGGGAGCTGGGGGGAGGAAAGTTTTGTGCACACACTCTATCCACCTGTCACAAAAGTGGAGATGGGGGAGGCTTCCCAAGCCTATGTCTGCGGTAGGGCCTCAGGCCGTCAGGTTCAGACCAGAGCCTGTATGACACCCCTGCGGCTGGCAGTGGACTCCCACCTTCTACGTTTACCACGTTTAAATATGATCAAGTCCAAGCCGGAGGGGCCCTGCGGAGGACCCTAGCTGGGCGCGGCCGCCCTCGGTGCTGCTCTGAGCAGGGCCTTGGAGCGACTCCGACCCCAGAGGTCCCCCTCCACCGGCTATGCCGGCCTGTGCAGCGCCCCGCGGCCCGGGGACCCTGCGAGCGAGCCCCGCATGCGTCCTCTCCCTCATCCCGCGCAAACCCACCGCGCATAGTGCGGCCTCCCCTCCAGGCCCGAGAGTCGCAGGGGCAGCCGCTCCGAACCTGGGAAGGGGTCGAGAGCGGCCTCCGGCAGGGCCTCGGCCCCCAGCCCCCTTGCGCCTTGCTCGTACCCCGAGGCTCAGGGATGAGCCCCGGGAAGCGGAGGCGCAGGCCGGTGGTGGGGAGAGGGCCCTTCCCGGCCGGGGGAAGCGGGCGTAACAGGTGGGCGGAGGTCGGCGGCCCCCGCGAGCGGGCGAGCGAGAGCGGCGGCGGGGTGCACGGACGCGGCGGGAGGAGCCGCCAAGGTTTCTCCAAAGGACAAGCGGCTCCGCGGTCCTCCGGTCCTCGGCCCGCGCCCGCCCAGCCGCTGCGCTCCGCCTGCCGCGAGCGCGCCCGGGAGGCGGCCCGGCCCCGGCTCCCGGCCCCCGGCCCCCGTCGCGCTGCCGCCCCAGCGGGGACCCTCGGCCGCGGGCTCGGCCCGCTGCGGACTCCGGGGCGCGGAGCCTCCGCGCGGCCGCCAGCAACTGGTGTCTCCCGGGGCGCAGCTCCGCCCTTCCCGGGAACAAAAGCCGCCGCCGGCGCCGGAGCCTCCCCGCGGGCGGGCTCCCGGGACAGCCCCGGGGCGCCCCCGCACGTGCCCGCTCTCCAGCCCGCGTCCGGCGGCGCGGGGCACGCGGGACGCGAGAGGGGCCGCCGCCGGGAGCGGGCCGTCCGCGAGGGCGCCGGTGAAGCCGGGGCGCGAGGCGGGGCCCCGGGGGGCGCGCGTGGGGGGCGCGAAGTTGCAAACTTACTGCAGTCGTCGGACTCGTAGCCGTCGGCGTCCGGCTCGTCCTCGGGCGGCTTGGCGGGCGGCCGCGCGGGGCTGGCCACCGGGCTGGGGCCCGGGCTGGCGCCGTAGGCTCCGAAGAGCTGGTCCACATCCTCGTCGTCCTCGCGCGCGCCGTCGGAGGGGCTGCGGCGGCCGCCGCCGGCCGCGGCCGGGCGCGCGGGGGCGGCGGGGGGCGCGGCGGCGCGGGGCCCCGCGTCCGGGGGCAGGCCCCGCGGGAAGCGGGGGAAGTAGTCGGAGATCTGCTTGATGGGCCGGATGGGGCCGGGGCACACGTCGATGGCCATATGCTCCTGGATGCTGATGGTCGCCTTCTCCCCGCGCCGCCGGAGGGTCATGCAGGCAGCGCGGCCCCGCCCGGGCGCGGCCCGGCCCGGCGCGGCGCGGCCCCGGCCCGGGGGCGGCTCAGCAGGCCCGGCGGGGCGCGGCGGGGGCTGCGGGCATGGCCGGCGGCGCCCCCGGACGGCCCTGTCGCGGCGGCTGCCTGCTCGGCGGCGGCGGGCGCGAGTGAGTGCAGGGGCCGGCAGGCAGGGGGCGGGCCCAGCCCGCGTCACCCGGTAGCAGCCAAGCAGTGCGAGTGTGCGGGCGCGCGGGCGGGCGGGCGCCGAGCCGAGCGAGCACTCAGCCCCGCGTGCGCGGCGGCCCGGGACCCCGCGCGCGCACACCCGCGGCGGGCAGGGCGGCCGGGCGCCTGCCGCGCGCCACGCGCACCGGCACGTTCCCGCGCGGGCCGCCTCTGCTCGGGCCCCGTCTGGCTCCCCGCGCGCACGCGGGGCTGCGGAGACTCTCCCGGCGCACTTGGCAGGAGCACCCACGCGCCCGGACCTGGGGACACACACGCCAGGGGACCTGGGCACCCCTCCCGAGGTTGCAGAATCTAGGCGTCTGTAATACATGCACGCACCTTACCCAGAGGAGGCCAGGGGACTCAGGGCTCTGTCTCTGTGCCCGAAGTCTGCTAAGGGCGCCAGACACTTTCGAGAATCATCCCCGCACACCTCTGCCCCACCCACCTGGCTGGACCTCCGGCCCCACTCCTAGGACGGCCGGCACCCCCCAACGTGGCCATGCTCCGCTGTCCAAGGTCAAGGCCGGGCCTCCTGCTACACTCCCACGCCGTGAACTCCCATGGGTGGGTTCTGGGTCAGCGACTGGGAGGTGACAGCTGGAGACTTCTCCCACCCCTGCGGGGACAGGGTGGCTGTGAGGATAGGCAGGGCTGAGCAGAGCCGGTGGGCGGGCAGGTCAGAGCGGCCCCTCCACCTCCCCACAGTAGGCAGATCAGCAAACAAACGGGCAGCCCTGCCGCTGTGCCCTTTCCGGGGTGAGCACTGTGCGGAACAGCCCTTGCTTATACAGGTGTGTCTTCCCTGGAAGGTCCTGGGCACGGATGGAATCCTGTTTGCTCTGTGGTTTCCATCAGGTATAGGAAAGGCTTCTTCCGGTGGCTGAATCTCTCCCCCAGTCTGAATGAGGGTCTCCAAGCAGGTGCTTCCTCTCCATCCCAAGGTTCACAGCCGCTGGGGAGCTGAGTGGGGAGAGGGAGGCCAGCCTTCATCACTTCCAGCTGTGTCATTCTGGCAGATGTTTGCTCTCGCCAAACCTCAGTCTCCCCCTCTGGGAACTGGGTCCATTGTTAACTTCACAGTGTGGTGCCAAGGTCCATGTTGCACACAGCCGACGTAATACGGACGTAATACACAAGAACTCTTCTTCCTCCCCCAGGGAGCAGCATTGTTGCATGGGGCAGACTGAAGAACTGAGTGATGACAGTCACTTAGCTGGCCTTTGGTTATTATTTTCAGTTTTTGGTTCATCTGGTGGTGCTCAGGGGTGAGTCCTGACTCTGAGCTCAGGTATCTCTTTTGGTGGGGCTGGGGACCATATGTGGTGCTAGGGATTGAACCTGGGTCTATTGAATGCCAGGCAAGCGCCTTCCCTGCTGTGCCATCTCTCTGGCTCTTTGCTGGCCTTGGAAAACTTGGAGCATCACCAGGACTGTGTTGCGGTCCTGTCCACTCCTGCGGGAGCAGGTGGTTGCACTTGGTGGGGTGGGGGTATGAGAGCAGGTACAGGGATGCCCTCAGCGGCTGGTGGCACAGTGGGGTTAGATTCCCAGATGCCTGACATTTTTTTCTTTTTGGCTTTTTAGGTCACACCTAGCAATGCACAGGGGTTCCTCCTGGCTCTGCACTCAGGAATTACTCCTGGCAGTGCGCAGGGGACCGAATGGGATGCCGGGGATCCAACCTGGGTTGGCCATGAGCAAAGCAAACTACAAACTACCCGTTGTTCTTTTGTTCTGGGCTTCCATGTTCCGACAGTCTCCCCCCTCTTCTACAGAGCTGGGAACTCAGGCAGAACCTTCTCCTGAGCTCGCCTGCGATGGAGAAAGAGTAGGTGAAGGGAGAGGGGTTTTTCGTGGGAGTGATGGGTTCTGGGCAGGGCTCTCAGGGAGGGGGGAAGAAAGGGCCTTCCAGGAGCCAGCGACCAGGGGAGGAGAGGTACCCTGGAGACCTTTGGGGCTCTCATTTCCAGGAATGCTTAAAGGATTAGTCCTTAAATAGGCGCAGGGAGTCCTACCGTGGCTGCAGCACAAAGTGCTTATGTAATTATCAGAGGTTTCAAAATACCAGTGTGAGTTCCTGTCAGAATTCCTTCACTCAGGAGCAAGGGAGTGTTGCCATTGGAGGACAGGTGGGGAAACTGAGGCTTCAGGGGGCTCAGGATTGGGAGTGAGAGCCTGAACTCCCTGACCACTATAGCCCTGTGTTCACTGCTTGGCCACAGGACAGAGGTTACCTCCTGGTATTAACTTTTTTTTAAATTTGTGCGTGTGTGTGTGTGTGTGTGTGTGTGTGTGTGTGTGTGTGTTGGGGGTCACACCCAGTATGCTCAGGGGCTCCTCCTGGCTCTATTCAGGGTCATTCCTGGTGCTTAGGGGACCTTATGGGGTGCCAGTGATCAAAACAGGGGACCATTGTATTGTCTTTCCTGCCCCCAGGAGTCTGGCTTTTGGTCTGCTTCTCATTCTTGGATCTTTGGAGGTCCGAGAGAATTGGGGTAGAGGATCTCCGAAGCATAGAGCTGGGAGACCCTAGGGTGGCTGCTGAGAATGTGGGTCGAGTCCCCGGCAGCTGTGAGCCTGCTGGGGAGGGGTGTTCTCTGGGCCTGCATCCAGTTTCTAGAAAGAGTCTGGGCTGGGCAGTCAGGTGACCTGCATTCAGAAGCCAGTGTCTCCTCCCTCTGGGTCACACGGTGGGCTTCACCCAGGCCCTTGGCCTCCCAGCACTCACTGTGTAGCAGGGAGACTATGAACAGCCTTAGACAGGTCCTAATGTGTCTGGAGGGAGCAGGCTCCCAGAGGATTTCTGTCCCCTCTCCCTGCCTTCCGGGGCAAGCCATCCTGGTCTGCCACGTGCCTGCCTCAGTTTATCTGCTGGTGAAATGCAGCTGGCTGCAGGGACCAGGCAGGGAAGACGCTCTGTGTGTGTGTGTGCGCGCGCGCGCGCGCGCGCGCGCGTGTGTGTGTGTGTGTGTGTGTGTGTGTGTCCATAAGTGAATGTACTGTGGAGGCTGGGGTGCCCGCTGGCCTGTGTGAGACCCATCAGTCATGTTGCTTCCTATCCCCGCCCTCACCCCTTGGCTTTCTAGCTGGGGGCTCTTGGCATAGTGAAGTGTGTGGGGGGAGGGGAGGAGGTCTGCCCTTGGTCCTCAGGATCTCAGGATCCTGCCTGTGGCTTCTCCCCACCTGCATTGCACCTACACCCCCTGCGGGTTTCTGTGTTCCCCTCCTTTCACACAGGTGCCGGGAGCACTCAGGAGCCTGCAACACCAGATGCTGTGAATAACGCAGAGCCAGGCCCTGCTTCCCGCCCACGGACTCAGGTCTGTGCGCCAAGACTCAGGGCGCGCCTCACCCCCCGCACCCCTGGATTATTTTTATGCACGGTTCTCTTGCGGAGAAGCGCTGGGTCTGACGGTGCTGATGGTTGAACACAGACTTCCTCGCCTGCTTGCTGCCTCCACGGTGTTGGAAGTGTGGCCCTCGGGGGTGGGGGTCTTGGGGTGTCCCGGGCGCAGAGCCCCACAGGGACATCTCATTCACCCCTCACTGGACATGATGTTTTCTTTCCTGGCCGAGAGTGGTTGTGGCACCTTTCCTTCCAGGAAGTCCAGGCATCTTTTTTTTTTTTCTTTTTGTGTCATAACCCGGCTATGCACAGGAGTTACTCCTGGCTCTGCACTCAGGAGTTACTTCTGGCGGTGCTCAGGGGACCATAAGGGATACTGGGAATCGAACCCAGGTCGACCGCGTGCAAGTCAAATGCCCTACCTGCTGTGCTATCACTCCAGCCCCAAGCTGGAGGCATCTTAGGGGAAGTGGTCTCTGCCCTGCTCGGGGCTGCATGTCCAGAGTTGGTATCTCTGGCTGGTGTCCACTGACCTTCAGAGGAATCACCCCCACCCCCGGTCCTGGCCTCATTTGTACCTTTGTGTCTCTTTATCCTGATTTCTGGAGGAGCTCTTGGCTTGCTGGACTGCTTGGACCTTCTCCATATTGATGGGAGCCTGAGTCCAAAAGAAGGGCTCATGGAGGAGCCACCTACTAGCTGATGGAGAAGGACCCTCTCGGGGCACTTCCCTTCATTCATTCATTCATTTTACTCTAATTTTTTGGGGGGGTGTCATATCCAACAGTGCTCAAGGCTTATTCCTGGCAGGCTTGGTGGGAACATGTAGGATGCTGGGGATTGAACCTGGGTCAACCTCATCCAAGCCAAGTACCATCCCTGCTGTATTATCTCTCTGGCCCCCTATTCATTTATTAAAGGATCAACATTTGCACAAATATTTCAGGGCTCTACAGCCTGTGACAGGCCCTGTGCTGTATTCCACGGAGGGGAGCTGGGTAAAGAACAGAGCCCCAGTGTACTGCCCCCTGCCTCCTCCTCAGCCCACGCCCTGCCTTGGTAGGGCAACCAAAGCAAGCAGCGCACGTAGGTTTGTGCATGGTTGCCTGTGGTCCCTGAGCACGCTGGCTGGATTAAGCGCTAGGCAAACGCAGCCCTATGTGATGATGGATGATGCAGCCACGTAAATACAGCCCCCTCCCCATTCCAGTATATTTCCTGATGCTGGGCCTGCCAGTGGGGAGGTGCTAACACTTACCTAATGATGTTCTGTGCATGTGCCTGGCCAGCTGGTGCCAAGAGAAGCCCATCACTCTGCAGGGACTTGGGCCCCACATCCGCAGTCCATGGATCTGGGAGACACTCACCTTGCCCACCCTTCTTGGGTGCTAGAAACTGAGGCATCTAGAGATGGAGGATCTGGCCTAGGTCCCACGAGATGGATCCCAGTTGAACTCATGCCCAGGGGAAGTCCTGTAGCTCTCTCT